GTAAAACAAATTTATTTTTTAATTTTTATGCTGTTTGTGGTCTGTAACATAAATTTTTAAACCGATTTTTACTAAAAATCCGTAAATTGTATCGGAAGAACACAAAAGATCTTTTTTTGGAAAACTATGAAATTTTGTTGCTGAAAGTGGCAAGAAACCACAGGCAAAATAGAGTAAATTTTTACTTACCCTAATCCTATCTAGTTTAGGAAGCCCCTAATTAAAAATTTCAACAAGAAACCCCCCCGAAATAAAATCCTGGTTGCGGCCCTGATTGTTGTCATGGCAACTGTCATGTATTACGACATGCATATTTCAGAATTACTTGTATCTTGTTTGACAATCTTCGTCATTTTTGACATTTTATTAACCAATTGAAAAGAAAAAAAAATTAAATTGTTGAATTAGAAAATCCAGAATTTTGTAATTGTTGATATCCCAAGTCTCCAGGAATTGTGTTGGCACCCCTGCCACTCATCAATACCCACATAAACAAAAGTGTTTTTCTTTTATCAGACTAAACTTCGATTAAATTAAGCAAAATTGAGCCTCTAATGAATACGTCTTTAACTTTTGAGGTTTTGCTGTACTTGAACTCTTATTATTTCGGCCTATTTGCCGTTTGTGAGATAGGGATGAATGTGGTAAAGTACATAAATTTTCCCGATTTGAAGCACTTTTCCACCGATTTCGGTATTCTGATGGCCGTTTGTGTGATTGAGCTGTTTCGAGTGATTCTGGCAAGGAAAGGAAACTTGACAGAGAGGAGTAAGTAATTTTTTGGTAAACATTTCCACATTTTTCTTTTTTTTTTTTCAGAATGGCCCGTTTTAGTCGCAATTTTCCTAACAATACCCTCACTTGCCGGAGTTTTGTATTTTATGATTTGGCAAAGCCATGCTTTGCGTTTTGAGTACATTATTTGTGGCATACAAGTCGGCCTACAATTCGTCGAAATCGTTACAGGAATCTTATGTCTTCTCCCGTTCTGCAAAACCCCAGAGTATTATTAGCCTAATATTTTGTAATAACAAAATAAAATAAATATTTGTCCAAATCCGCGATCAATAATTTGAAACTAGTAACATTCCTAGCGTTGGGCTGGCACTGCTGCTTGTCAACGTCAAACACAATTTTTACAAAATTTAATCTAAAACCCGAATAAATTCACCATGAGTGAATTGGGTAAAGCAGCGAAGACACACTACAAATTATATCAGCAACAAAATCCAAATAATCCGCGATCAATAATTTGAAACTAGTAACATCCCTGGTGTTGGGTTGGCACTGCTGGTTGTCAACGTCACATAACCACAGTTTTTATTATGATTTTTAATTATTTTGAAAATCTAAAACGCGAATAAATCACCATGAGTGACTCCCAAAGCGGTGAGAACTCACAATACGATTTATATCTGCAGGAAATCGAAGGAGTTGATGATTATTGGGGGCCAACTTTCAGGTGGGCGTAAATTTTTACTCCCAGTGAGTTATTTTCAGTTTCAGGGCGATTTATGATAACGACCAACATGTAAAGTTTCGAGAGAAGCTAGAACAACGAATCAAACATCACAACAAGGATATTGAAAGACTGTGCAATGTGTACTACCAAGGGTTCATTGAAGCGGTCCGTGAATTGTTAGAAGTGCGCAATCAGGCCAAAAAATTGAATGTAAAACTTGATAATTGTCGAACAGTATCGAATTTTAAGTTTTAGAACCAAGTCACCACTCTAGACACCCAATTACACCAAGCCGCAAAAAATATCTCAAAATCGGGCAATGAGCTGTTGCAAGCGCGAAAAGTACAAAGTAATATTGCCGTTGTGATTGCACAACTAAACCTGTGTTTGCCTGTATTGACCTCATATTCGAAATTGAAGAAGCAAATCGCGGAAAAACGGTAATGAAAAAATCAAATTTCAAGCAAAAATTTTACATTTTCGTAGTTATTACCCGGCGTTAAAAACCCTAGAGGAGCTGGAGCACTCACATTTGCTTCATGTAGCCAATTATCGCTTTTCTTATCAATTAAGGGAGAGCATACCTAAGTGAGTCCCAAAAAACTGTTACAGTTTTCTGGTTTACCGACTAATTGCAGAATAAGGGAAAGTATCGAGAAGGCTTCAATGTCCGACCTGAAAGACTTCCTTGAAAACATTCGGAAATTTTCGCCAAAAATTGGAGAAGTAGCTATGAAACATGTAGGTTGTTTGTTATTTTGGTTAAAAAATTTGTAAAAATAAGAATTGTAGACCAGCGAACAATTGGCGAGTGATCCTACAGTAATCGGTCGTAAGAAAAAAAGAATAGCGCCCCAACCTTCAGGTTATTGATTGAATTATTGTTTTCATAATTTTATTTGAGAAAATACAGGTGATGGTGTTGGACACTTCTCTGAGGAGGATCTAAGTGCCCAAGAACTGATCGATTTTTCCCCCATTTATCGCAGTTTGCATATTTCAAGTGTACTTAACACAAGGGCCACCTTTGAGACGTATTATAGGGCAGAAAGGACAAAACAGGCACGTTTAGTGCTACAACCACCCACGAATATGGTAAGTAAGATGAGATTAAGCCCTTGTCCCTAGATTGTAGCTTCTAAATTCCCTAGAATTCCCTAAACTACTTAAAAAATTAAAAAGATACTATTTCATAGGCCTATTTTGTTGAGCTAACATAATATAAATACAACATAAAAATGTGTTAACTGCAAACAACAAAAAATCAATAAATAATATAACAATAAATTAAAATAAATTTTACTAAAGAAATAAAAAAATTAAATACAACTCAAATACAAATACAATATTTTGGCATTGCTCCTTTACAACCTTTAAACATTTATTAATTTATTTCCAAAAATAACTGGTAGTTTCCTCAAAAAAAATTCTTTAATTCTTGTATGTCAAACATTTTTTTAACAAAAAACTGTGATGTTTACAAAAAAATTATTGCATGGCAACAGTTCTTGTAACAAGCTCGTTGTCTAAAAAAAAAATTGTGGTCGGTTTCCGTATAAACAATTAATTAATATTCAAAAAATTTTTTGAATAGCATTTTTATAGCCATTGCACACCTATAAATTTATTTGCCAAAAAATTTGATACTTTTGCCAGAATAACATCGTTTCCAGACTTTTGGAACACCCAGTATACAAATGCGCTAACTTGGCGAAGTTACAATATTCATATTAAAAATTTTTGTATTTTTTGAGACTGTGCCAGCAGTGTGAAAAAAATTGAGATTTTCACTGAAAATGTAAAATATCCCTAGATTATTAAGAAAAATTGAAAAAATCCCTTTTTGTTAGAAAAATCCCTAGAACTAGGGAAAAATTCCCTAATCTGGCATCACTGAGTGGGCTGTGATAAATGACATATTTTTCACCATTTTTGTTACCAACAGCACGAATGTGAAGAAAGCTATCGTGCCTACATTCACGCCGTTCTCGGTTTCTTCATTCTGGAAGATCACGTGTTAAATACCGGAAACGGGTTAATAACCAGAGCCTTCTTGGACGAGATGTGGACAATGGCGTTGTCTAAAATCGTCAGCGCATTGCAGACACATTCAGTAATTTTTACACCAGAAATTATTGGTTCATTAAGTATGAATTTTTTTAGGCGTACTGCACCGACGCCACCTTGATTCTCCGAATTAAAGACTTGATTATGCTTTTTTGTACGACTTTGCGTAATTACGGATATTCGGTGAAACCCCTGTGGGAGTTGGTGCGCGAATTGCGTGACCACTACACCGAGGTTTTGATGCAAAGATGGGTACAAGTCTTTAGGGAAATTCTGTCTAAAGAGGATTTTCAACCGATTCAAGTGTATGACCTTGAGGAATACGAACACATCTTGTCATCGTTTCCATGGGATGAGGATTTACCAAACGATGTGGTTTTCCCACACAAATTCCCCTTTTCAAGGATGGTGCCTAAAGTTTACCAACAAGTCAAGGAATTCATTTATGCCTGTTTGAAATTTTCCGAGGATTTAAATCTAAGGTCTGTCAAAGTGGCCTATGACTTTGAAATTAAGTTGGCAGCATTGGGAACATTCTGTACTCCACTGTTGCCAACTTAATTTCAATGTCACAGCCTCTGTGATGAGTAATTTAATTTGATAAAAATTTCAGTCAAGTCGAGGTCGACGAGATGATCCGAAAATCGATGAATTTGCTCCTCACTCGCACATTCAGTGGTTGTCTATCGTCGACGTTTCGTAGCCCACACATTAATCTTCAGGAAATTATCCAAATTATTATCGATACCGGCTATTTGGAGGAAGCTACAGTTTATTTGGACCAGTTTATATCAAATATCACAGGGTAGGAGTGAAAAAAATTTAGTTGAAATTATTTAAGAGAAAATGTAGGGAGGAGTCTCGGGGGGTGTCCACAGGAGTGGTGCAAGGCCAACCGGCGATGTTTCGCGTCGCTCGTGAAGACGCCGTGCGTCAAATTTGCGAAAAATTGCGTCAGAAACTTAACGAGTTTTACGAATTGGAGAGTTATGATTGGTTGTTAGTCGAGCCGACAGGCCACGCCTCTAGTTATATCTCAGATTTGATAGCTTTTCTACAAACGACGTTTCAGAGTTTTACGAATTTACCGGTTTGGAATTTTTTGTGTTTTAATTTGTTTATTGTTTAGTTTTTTGTAGCCGGAAGTGGCGCAAGTTGCGTGTAAGTCGGCTTGTGAACATATTGCAAATTCAATGTTTCAATTATTGATGAATGATGAAATCAAACAAATTTCGATGGGGGCTTTAAACCAAATAAATCTAGATTTGTTGCAGTGTGAACGTAAAGTAATTTAAAACATTTAAATAACAAGTTAATTAATTGTTACAGAATTTGCGGCTTCTGAACCTGTCAAAGGTCTACAAGAGGATGTTTTGTTGTCTTATTTCACAAAATTACGTGAAACTTTAGATCTATTTACGTCGTGGGATTGGCCCACTTATTTTCATGATTATGGACAAGAAACAAGCAAATATAAACAAGTTAATCCAGACAGTGCTATAGTATTATTAGAAAAGTAATATAAATTGTGTTGTCAAATAATAAAATTAATTACTTTTTGTTTAGATTAAGGGAAGGCGATAAGAAAACAATGTTTACAGTCCTGAAGAAGAATGAAAGAGACAAAAAGAAGTTACTGGAGACAGTTTTGAAACAATTAAGACAGCTTACCCAAATACCACCAAGCAAATAATTATTACCCACATTTATTTTCTATTGTACTGTTGTAATTAAGTTCTAACTAATAAATTTGTGTTTGATTAATTCATTACAACTTCCAATTTTTATGGCCAACTGGGTTACCAAATCTCAAAAAAAAAACGTTGTTTGACGTTTACGCATGCGCAATAATACCATTTATTTTGAAAAGATTTTTCAGGCCTAAAGAACAATCTAGTCATATAATTAGTTGGAATTAAGCTGAAATTTCGTCTAATTCCTGAAAAAAGTTTAATCAAAATTAATAAAAAAAAATATTTTTGTGAATTCTGAAATGACATTGCGCACGCGTACTACCAACACAACCGCATAAAAATTTGCGGTGTGGTTTTTTCCATTGAAAATTGACTAAAAATTGGTTAAAATTGTGAATACAGTACTTCAACATGCAAGTCCCACCTGTCTTTATTGACGTGAGTCCTGAGGACCAGGTAAAATTAGTTTTTATGCCACTTTGACACGTCCATATGACACATTGAGGTTATGTTTGTAGGCTCAAGAGCTTCGAAGTTATTTGAAAAGCTTGGGGGCTGAAATTTCTGAAGAAAAATCAGTAAAAGGGATTGAGGATGACTTGCACAAAATCATCGGTGTGTGCGAGGCCTGTTTCAAAGAGGGCCAAGAGTCGGAAGTCGAAATGGTACTCAATGATATCGTCTCCATTATGGTGCTTGTAGGTGTCTTAAAATCTCACTTTGTTGGTTACTTCATGTGAATTGTTTGTAGATTCCAGCCGACCGGTCCGAAAACATCATTTTAGCCTTCTGTCAGAAGTTATTGAAAGCTCAAGGCCCCAAATTGGGGCTGGTTTGTTTGCGCGCCTTGTGGCTGTTGTTCCAGTCACTTGACGAGACTTCCCCTATGAGGTACCACGTCTACTACCACTTGATCTTAATTGCGGAAAAAACGGACCAAGTCAAGTCAGTATTCCAAGACATTGAGCATTTGAAACAACAGTTCGCCCCGTGTCCCCCCTCAAGCGAACAACTGCAGATTTTGTACCGGTTGCTCCACCAGGTGCTCCTCAAGAGCAACCAGAGTGAGCAAGCCGCCAAAGTAATGATTGAGCTTTTGGGGACTTACACTGATAAGAATGCTTCACACGCCCGCGAGGATGCCATCAAATGCATTGTCTCGGCCTTGGGGGACCCTAATACCTTCCTCCTTGACCCCTTGTTGTCCTTAAAACCGGTCAAATTCCTGGAAGGTGAATTAATCCACGATTTGCTTAATATTTTCGTCAGCGAGAATCTCGCCACCTATTTGAAATTCTACCAAGAGCACAAAGAATTCGTCACGTCACAAGGACTAAACCATGAAAAAAATATGCAAAAAATGCGCTTGTTGTCATTTATGCAACTTGCAGAGACTAATCCTGAGATTAGTTTTGATGTGATTGAAAAGGAATTGCAGATTAAACCTGAAGAGGTTGAAGCGTTCATTATTGAAGGTTTGGGCAAAAAAATTGCTTTTGTGTTATCTTTAATTGGTTTTTTTATAGTCTTGAAGACTAAATTAGTGAGGGCTCGAATGGACCAAGCAGCTAGGAAAGTTTATGTTTCAAGTACAATGCATAGGACTTTCGGACGCGCTCAGTGGCAACAATTGAGAGATTTGCTTCATTCGTGGAAAAGTAACCTCAGTATGGTGCAAGAAGGGATGAAAAATGTCACAGCAGCGCAATTAGAAATGATGAATCAACAGTAATTCTTTTATACGAATAATTTAAGAATAAAGAATTGAAATTATCTAGGGATTTTTACTTTATTTACATTTTCCAACACACTTCAAATTAGTTAGGGATTTTTATTTTATTCCCAACATCTTCACATCATTTCTCAAGCCAACAATCTTAAATTTTATTTAAATATAAATTTACATAAATAACCACAATTGTGGAGACTTCACCACCGTATGAAGCACAATTTTCTCCTCTTATTTATCACTTGATAATGATAATTTTTGTTGGCAACACTGCCCGTCAAAATTCGTATTTGTGGCTGCTGATTCAGGTTTTTATGGGAATTCCGCTCGCTTCTGATGCAATACTAACGTTTTTCTGTTTGATAGATAAGACTTAACTCGTAAGTACGTTTTTTAAGAGTGTGAGAAGCGATTGAGTGACTTGAGGTTTGTAGGTTAGGTCAAGATGTCAAAGCGTGTGCAACCCCCATGGTCACCTCCGGAGGCCACTTCCGGTCCGGTTCTGAAAGTGTTTAACAGTTTGACGCGTCAAAAGGAAGTGTTCAGGCCGATTTCCGGCAAAAAAGTCACTTGGTATAGTTGCGGGCCTACTGTTTATGACGCCTCACACATGGGGCATGCCAGGTCGTACATAACTTTTGATATTTTGAGACGGGTTCTTGCCGATTATTTCGGTTATGATATATTTTTTGTGATGAATATCACCGATATTGATGACAAAATTATTAAAAGGGCGCGTCAGAATTACTTGTTTGAGAGGTACATTGGCGAGGAGAGGTCATTACAGGCCGTTTTAAACGATGCTAAACTGGTAGGAGAATTTATTTTGTTGTAATATTGCTAAGGGAGCTTTCAGGTTTTAGAAAAATTATCAGAGACCACACAAAACACCATTGATCTTGACAAGAAGCAGATGTATGAAAAACTTCTAGTAAAGTGAGTTATTTTGTCGTATTTAGAAAAACGAGATTTAATTTTTTATTGTAGTCTCACAAAATCGGTTGAAGAATTAGAAAATGCAGTTAAAAGTGGTGATAATACAAAAATTGAAGAAGCAAAGAAAAATTACGTAATGAGAAGTAAAGACCCCCTGTCTGATTGGTTGGATTGTAAGTTTGGGGCCACGATTACAGATAATGCGATTTTTACCTCACTGCCTCAACACTGGGAACAAGAATTTCACAAAGACATGGAAGCTTTAAATGCAAGTATTTCTACGATATTATTAATTGAATTAATTTTGTTTTAACACTCATTATAAACAAGACAGTTTTTTAACTTTAGTCGACTTTTATGTTTTTTCTATGCAGGGTGTTTTGTAAATAGACCAACAAAAAATGTCAAGTGAGATAAGATACCTGGAACATTAAAAACAAATTCTATCTATAGAAATTTTGGAGTTTAAATTTTGCACTTTGACTCTATTTATTTCTGTTGGAAAAATAATTTTCCATTTTTTTTTTTGGATTTTGTTATAGGAAACAAAGAAGCTGTATCCTGAATTGTAACTGTTTAACGTTATTTGTAGCTTTTATTGACAAAGTTTTTGTACCATTATTGAATAATTAGAAAAAACATACCTATACAAGATCATCAGTAACAATAAACAAAAAAAGTATGAACTGTCAATAATTTTTGACAGATAGAATTTTTTAAATCTTTTTTTATTGTTCCGGGTATCTTCTCTTGTAATTTTTTTTGGTTTGTTATTTACAAAAAACCCTGTATAGTATTAAATAAAAATATTAATTGACTTTTTTTTATATGGATTAGTCGAGAAATAATAGATATTTTATTACTGCGTTGAATTAAATTTATTAAAGTGGTCTGTGGTTTTAAAATTAACTTGCCAACATTGTCAGAAAAGAAATAAAAATACTATACCTTTTATGTCTATGTTATTTACTGTTGCCAACTTAAGTCACAAGCCTCTTATTTTTTATTACTTAATTAGTAAATCAAAAAAATCTGAACAAAGTTCTGAAATAAATAACTGACGTCTTTAATTTAGTGAATTATTTTTTCAATAAAACACTCAGTATAAAGAAATAACTCTAAAACAAGTTTTCAACTTTAGTTGAGTTTTATGTTATTTTTTGTTATTTCTAGTATTGTTGAATTTTTTCATTAAAATAAAAATGCAGAGGTAAGGTTTTTAAAGGTACTAAATCCGAAATTATAATATAGCGTTCAATTAAACTTTTCAAAGTGGGCTGTGGTTTTGAAATTAATTTGAAAAACAGACAGAAAATATAATATTTTAACTAGTGAACTAGGGCCAAAAAGCCAAAAAAAGTCTTGTGAAAACTTTGTTCAAATCAGTAAAAAAAAGTCTGATGTATGAAAGTGTCAAAAAAGGACACACCAAACTCAGTTTTCTATAACTTATATATTTTTTTATATGATAATATACAGGGTGTTTCACATAACTTTACGAAGCTTTGATTGTAGTTTATCTATCTTAATCACTAACTAACTAAAAACGTTGTAATTTTTGAAAGGGTGAACCAACTAGAGAAGATAATTAAATTTTTCAAAATTTGTAATCGAGTTCGTATCGGAATATTATTATTGATTGCGTCTTACAGGCGCAGGCCTCGTAAAATTATGTGAAACACCCTGTATAATATTTTTACAAATTTAAAGAAAAGCAAAGCTTGAATCAAACTTTAAGTAGGCAAACGAGGTTAAATTTTCTATTATCTTTGTTACTACTTTTATTTTAATAAACTCAGTATGCCCTTGCTTTATATTGTTCGTCATTCCTTGAGTGAATTTACTATTCCTTGACAATAAAAAGTTCAGATGTTATTTAAAGTAGTTGATAAAGCTTATTCTATCTGTTATTTTTTTAAATACTTTTACTATATTATTTTCTCGAAAAAAGGGATACTATCATTTGGAAATAATATAGTGAAAATAAGGGTGTAACTTTCTTCTATATTCTGTTAAATTTAGTTGCTACATTTAGTTAACAATAAAGCACAAAATATTTATTTTTTATTTTTGGAATAATAGTAAGTATACCTTTGTTTCAAATTGCTACATGTTCTTTGGTTCTGTTTGTTATTCCTTTGTAATAAAAAGCTTCACTTTTGTTTAGAATAATTAGGAGATCTTATTTTTTCTATTCTCGTTCTTATCACTTCTAACGGATGTTTATTTAAATTTGGCGCCATAGTTTTAATACGCCCTGTGAGGTGTCAAATATCAAATTAATAACTTCCAATACGGTGGTTTGTTCACAATCAAACTTTCATAGATAGCTTTGACGCCAAATTAAAAAAAAACACCTGTTTAAGCTAGTAGAGTGCGAAAAAGGCCAAATAGAGTTCTTTATTTTATTAAAGAATCTATGCTTCATAATCGAACCTAACATTAAGTTGGCAACATTGAAAAATAGACAGAAAAGGTACTATCAAATTCATAAAAAACTAGTACAGTTGGAGACAAAATATTGTGGTCGTCAATGTCACTTGAGTGACATTCAATTATAAAGTATGCTTTAGAATTGTTAACCTTATTTTTAGCTACTGTCAATGATAGTTGACAAGTTGTATGTACATATTTTTCCTAGAAAAATATAATAGCTGTCATTAATTTGAAATTGTCATTTATTTTAACCTTAAAGCTTGAATTACATTAAAGTGTCAGAAAAGTGACCAAAGTATTTTGTCTCCAACTGTACAGCAAAATTTTGGTGTAGTAAATTGGGCTACGTGAAAATGTCAAATATTAATGTCTGTCATTATGACAATTTTAATTTTTAAGTTTTTAAAGCACTAAATTTTCACATAGGTATTTATGTTTTCAAAAAGACACTACATTGCAAAAAGTAGGTAGACGTATTTAGGTTGTCTAGTTGGCCTGTTGAAATTTGTAACCAGTTAACTTAAAGTAAAGATTTGTTAACAAGAAATTACCACCTAGGTTTTGAACTTTTAGGAAAATTACATTTTTCATGTTGTTTATAACTAGAATTTTCAGAAGTAATTTTGAATGTCTAGGGTTGGTTACCCCTTGTTGCTGACGACTGACATTTTCTGTCAACCTGCTGACAACTATCAATTAAATTATCCATTCAAGCTGACAGGTGATTTAACCTAAATTTTGACACGAGTTACGACATCTTTTGTTTGTCACCAGAAACCAACCTAACTAAATTAATGGCAACCTATTCACGAATATCCCTAAATCCTAGGTAGTAATTTCTTGTTGATACGACAATACGTAGAAATCTTACACTACAAAATTTTTGAAAATTTGACGACGTTTTGCTGTCCTAGTTTCTTATGATTTCGGTAGTATGAATGTGGACAAGTTTCGTATTATTTATTGTTGCCAACTTTGTTTTATTCAATGTCACAAAAACTCATTTTTTTATTTTCTTAAATAGTAAAAAAAGGAAAGAAAAAATCTGTATGAAGTTGTGAAATAAATGACTGACGTTTTTTATATGGACTTTATTGTTGTCAAGTTGGTATTTGATAAATTTTAGTAATACATATCACAGATTAAAGTGATTATCTGTGGTACGAGTAATATAAAAACTACAAATGGTGGTCAAATCCATCGGATTCGAAAATTTCTTGTAGGAATTATGGGGGGCACCCCCCTGTAAAACTCGCACTAACGAAATCACAAATATTTTATTCATAAAACTATTTTGTAGGGATATTTGTTGGCATGTATTATTTTAAAAATGTCTGACTTGAAAACTTACCTAACCTCAATTTTTAGATTTTCTTTAAATCTAAAAATAATTTCATACGCCCCTTTTATACTTTTAAATCACTTTTATCACCGTTTTTTCATCATTAAATTTGTTTTTCCAAGTTAAAAACTAGCAACACTTAGAGCTTTTGATTTTTTTGTTTAAGATTCTCAAACCCCACGTGCTTACCCGCGTCAGCGAGTACATCCCCGAGATCGTCGCTTACATCTCAAAAATCATCTCCAACGGTTTCGGTTACGAAGCCAACGGTTCGGTTTATTTCGACGTTGCCGCTTTCGACAAACAACCGAATCACTACTACGCCAAACTAGTCCCTGAAGCTTACGGCGACACCAACAGTCTCCAAGAGGGCGAAGGCGACCTCACTACAGCCGACCAACGTAACGAAAAACATTCCCCTAACGATTTCGCTCTCTGGAAACGAAGCAAGCCGGGCGAACCCGCGTGGGATTCCCCCTGGGGCAAAGGCCGGCCTGGATGGCACATCGAATGCTCGGCGATGGCCTCCACGATTTTCGGCGACACTCTCGACATACACACTGGAGGAGTCGATTTGAAATTCCCACATCACGATAACGAAATCGCTCAAAGTGAGGCCCATTTTGGGGCCTCCGAATGGGTCAAGTATTTTTTGCATTCGGGGCATTTGACCATTGCCGGGTGCAAAATGTCGAAAAGTTTGAAGAATTTTGTTAGTATACAAGACGCCTTGGCGAAATATACGGCGAGACAGTTGAGGTTTGCGTTTTTGTTGCATGCGTGGAGGGATACGTTGGATTATAGTCAGAATACCATGGAGGTGGCGCTGCAATACGAAAAAAATTTCAATGTTGGTATCACTGGGTAAAATAATGTTGGTACTACTGGTTCACGTTTCAGGAATTTTTCTTAAATGTCAAAGACTTGACCAGGAATTTTTTGAAAAAACCGACTCTAGTAGGACATTATGTTAAGTGGGAGGGGCAAGAAATGGAACTAAATGGACAGTTTTTGCGAACAAAGGACAATGTACATGCTGCTTTGTGTGGTAATACATTGTTTTTATTACTACCATTAATTCAATTAAATTTTTCATCAAAGTGACCTGTCAATTTAAATTTAAGTTGGCAACACGCTAGCACAGCTAGTATCACCAAATGTTCAATGTTTCCACTATATTTTTGTCACATTATCAATGTTGCCAACCTAATTTTAAAGTCAAGGCTACTTCGATCATTATTTTTTTTTAACTATTGTCATTTTTTGGCAGATAACATTGATACGAGGACCAGTTTAGAATCGTTGAGGGATTTAGTGACTGCCAGTAATTTATACATAAGAGATAAAAATTCCCCAAACTGTCTTTTGTTACACGATATTGCTGTTTATATTACGAAAATGTTGTCGATTTTTGGTGCAATTTCTGAGTCTAGTAAAATAGGATTTCCAGTTTCAAGCGGTAACGAAAGTAACGTAAGTATGTTTTGTTTTTCATTATCTAACTGCAATAGTAATAATATAATACATAATTATATTTTTATTTAAAATTGTTACATTTGTGTTTTGTTTAACTTACATTTTAAAAATAATTAAATATTTACAAAATGTGAAACATTGATTATTTGTTTACTTATCTAAATTTCGTGTTTAACGCAAAAAATGTTAGTCTTTTACTAATGTTTAGCGTAATATACATATTTTATTAAATTATTACTATTTCCCAAAGTAATAAGGTTAAAAATGTTGCAATTTTAAAGTCTTAAGCTTCTTGACTGTAGTTTCTACAAGCTTCAGTGTCTTTATCATGATCTTGTATATTTTTTTTATAATTATTTAATAAAGGTACAAAAATTTTGACAATAAAAACTACAAATAACGTTGAACAGAGTTAGTCCTGGTATTTTACCTTACATGACATTTTTCTCTCGGGCACGAGTTCTGAGACACCCTGTATTTTTTTATTAGAACGTCCTGTTTGTTCTCTAACACAATTAAACTTTCATTTGGTAAACATTTACTTAGGTAATCAAAAAAAATGGTACATTTGATTTTTTTTGTTTAATTAAAAATTTTACTCTTCTATAGAAGTGACTATTTTTCTATTCGATCACAAAAGTTAAGGTAAATAAATATAAAAAATGGAAAAAAGTGTCTCTTTTTAGTAAAAAATTGCTTGTTCAATAAATCGAATTGAGCAAAAATCGTCTGCTTTTATAAGAAAATCATCAAAAAAATTGTTTGTTCGTTCAAAAAGTTTAGCAAAAATTGCACGAAATTTTTTTTGTAAAAACAAAAACTTTAGCAAGAACTTCTGGTCGTCACAAAAAAAGCAAAAAACCGCCTGTAGTAACAATAAATTGAACATAAAAACTGTTTTATGAAACACGCAGTTGTTATAAAAGATTCTGCGTGAACGCTTTTGTTGAATTAAAAAGTTTAACAAAAATCGGCTGAGGTGACAAAATTATGACTAAAAAATCGCACAATGGATCAAAAACGGCTGAGGTTACAAAAAATTTAGCGATTTAACAAAAAATTGTCCAAAGTCGCAAAAATTGAGCAAAAACCGTCTTTGGTTAGATTTTTTTTTGTCAAAACAAGAAATTAAGCAAAAATTGCCTGTCGTCACAAAAATTTTGCAAAAAACTGCTTGTGGTCACACAAAAAAAAACAAAAAGTCCGTTTTAAACATACAGGGTGCGCCAGAACTCGCGCTCCAGAGAAAAATGCCATATAAGGTAAGATACCAGGAACATGGAAAAAATGTTAAAAAAATTTTATCTATAAAAATTTCGAAGTTATGAGGGTTTCAAGTTTGCACTTTGACTCTATTTATTTCTGTTGGAAAAATAATTTTCCAAGTTTTTTTGCTATAGGCTATTAAAAGAGGAAACAAGGAAGCTGTATCCTAAATTGTAACTCTGTTCAATATTATTTGTGGCTTTTATTGGCAAAATTTTTGTCCTTTTACTAACTAACTGTAAAAAAAAACAATACATACAAGATCATCAGTATCCTTAAATAGATATAAAAAATGTCAAATCTCAAAAAATAAATGTCAAAATTTTTTGACACAGAATTTTTTAAACATTTTTTTCATGTTCCTGGTTTCTTACCTTACTTGAAAATTTTCTCTGGGGCGCGAGTTCTGGCGCACCCTGTATAATAATTAACAAGAATTCGCTTATAGTCACAAAAAGTTAAACATAATCGGTTTTTTCAACAAACAATTAAGCAAAAATTATGTTTAGTTGCAATAAAAAAAATAGCCAATTATTTGAAAAATTGAACAAATAACCAACGTTGTTACAAAAAATTAAACAAAGTTCCCGTTGAGCAATAAATTTCTTGCGATTCCAAATATGTAATTGGAAAGAAAAACTTGTGCGTGTTTTAAAAAAATTAAATTTAAAATTGCAAGTGGTTATAAAAAAATAAGCAAAAAGTCTTTTTTCAATTAACCAGAAATTGCTTGTGTGAGAGATTAACAAAAAATAATCCATTGTTAATTTTTTGTCGAAATTCAAACAAGCTATATTAAGGAAACATACAATTAAGAAGACTTATAAAATTGAGATAAAAATATCTTGCGGTTAGAAAAAAAAATAATCAAAAATTGTCCGTTTTGTGTTTAACTTGACCAGGAAATTGTTGTTAAGGTCGCTGAAGTGCTTTTTTAAATAACCTTACTGTAATTTCTACTTATTACACACTTTGTTTACTGTATCACATTATTTTTTTAATGTAGATTTTTTTTAAATGAAGCCCAATTTTTGTTTTACTCACGTCGTACAAACAGTATTTTTTCTACATTTGCGGGATACAATGTTGCATTTTAATTTTTTTTTATTAAGAGTGAGGACAAAATACTTCCCTACTTGGAAATTTTGGCCGCCTTCCGCGACAAAATTCGCACATTCGCCCGATCTCTCAAAGCCACCGAAATCCTCCAAGAGTGCGACCGACTCCGCGATGAGACTCTTCCAAACGTGGGCGTCCGTTTAGAAGACCGCGAAGGAGCCCCCAGTGCCGTTAAAATCGTCGGTCGCGACATCCTCCTTAAAGAGAAAGAAACAAAAAAAATGCAAGAATTGGAAAAAGCGAAAGAAAAAGAACGGAAAAAAGCCGAGTTAGCAGCAGCACAGGCAGCAAAAGAAGCCCAAAAAAAGATACCACCGAGTGAAATGTTCAAATTGGAGACGGATAAATATTCGAAATTTGACGAAAACGTAAATATAAAAATTAATTGATTCAATTTTAGTTTTTGCGTTTTAGGGGCTTCCCACGCATGATGCCCAAGGAAAGGAGATTAGTAAAGGCCAGTTGAAGAAGTTGCAGAAGTTGCAGCAAGCCCAGGAGAAGAAACATCAAGAGTATTTGGCTACTCTAAGTTAATTTAATCTTTATTAGTGTAATTTAAGTATTTTGATATTTATTACTGCAACTAAAAAAATTAAATGTTGGATTTAATAAAATAATTACCGATTTTTCTTTATCCTTGTCGTATTTTCTAATTTGAGGTAATTTTCCTGCAAACTAGATTACGTAGCTAATTAAATTTTGACCCACTAGAGTTTAAAAATGCAAATAAAAGTAAAATTTCATCAGCGAATAATGAAATTCGTTTAAATTGCGTCTTATCCAGCTAACGACGTTATAAAAAAAATGATTAACGCTATTTAGTCTCGGGAGTTTTTCTAATTGTACGAAAACTCGGAAATGAAGCCAAAAATCAGGAAATTAGCCCGAAAGTCGATGAATCCGATAAGCGAAATTATTAAAAGATAAGATGTTTCGGTTCTCATCGATAAACTCCCTAATTAAAAACCATCACGCAATTAAAAGCTCATTAATCTTGTCCTCGCCTCCACTCAATAACAACAAATTTCCATAATGAAATTAAACTCACGACGAGCTAATCCATAACCTTCGAGGAGCGCAAAAGGTGACTCATCTGCCCTAAACCAACGTCCAATATTATTTTACAGCGTCCTGTATTGAAATTTTATTATGAAACGGAGGCACGTGGGAGTGGTATTTTTTCAGCGGCCACCCCACAAATGCCTACCCTCCCTCCACCCCAACTCCATGTCTTGATTTAAATATCGCAAAGCGTCCGATTTTTATTTAATTGAATTCCGAAGTGGGTCAGAATTTCTGGGTGAAGATTGCCGTTCTCTCATTTTTTTTAACTTGAAGTAATTACGTTAGGGTTCTTAGGTGGAATTACTTATCCTTCATCTATAACGAGTGCTCGGGCTTTCTTATCGGCGCTCTTTATCCTCCAGGACTCCAGGCGTTCGCTAGGATAATACCCTCAATAAGAACAAGCCAACTTCTTTGCCATTATAAATATTTAATGAGCGATATCGAGAGCGGGGAGCGGATTCGATTTATTTCAACACTCTACTGCAGACTCTTAAAATGGTTTTAACCTTTGTGATTTCATATTTCTAGTGGGGGCGAAATTATAAGCTTGCACCCAAAAATAGAGAAGGATTGTGATAATGACAAACTTAAAATCTGTTTATTTTAAATGGACATTTTTATAGACACAAATTTTATTTGTTCTATGATTTGGTATCTAAAAATTATATAATTGTCTCTTTCGTTGCTTATTTCTGGAGAGGTATTTTGTAAATCACTAACCTTCGACATTTTGCACTACCAACTGCACTAGTCATTGAAAATCTCAACACAAATTCTGATGCTGTTATGTTTTTATTAGTTGCAAAGCGTTTTTATTATTTTGTTCATTTACTTGCTAATTATAGTGTTGCTCATTCGGAGGAAAAATGAGCTTATGTGGCTCAGCTAAATTATTCACTTTTTTAGTGTCTAACAGAGTGGTGCATTTTCAAACTTTTCCAAAATTAAAATAATAAAAAATAAAAAAACCTACCCTGGTATGTTTTTTTCGTTTTAACTTGTAAAAATTTTAACAAAAAAAAGTTTTTGCTATTATAAAATATTTCAAAATAAAAGGAGCTGAAGGAATTAAAATTATCAAAAATGTATAAGTTAGTGTAACATTTGTATTTTTTACACGTTTTTTTAACACGAAAGTGTTTATACAGTACAAAATTTTGTTAATCTAAATCTTTATTATTAAAACAATTACAATAAAAAATCTAGTAACAAAAAAATTAAAAATGTTTTGAAAAAAGTTTAGAGTTTTGACAACTGTTTGGCATTTTTCAATACGAAACGTGAGATTATTTTTAACAAACTTGAAGCAATTTTAAGCCTTGTTGAGTCTAATTTGAAGAATAAAATGTTGTATTCAACTCGTCTTCGTGTAAATCGGTTCATTTATTCCACCTCGTGGATGATAAACCACTCGTTGACACTCGTGGTTTAATAATCTACTCGTGAAATAAACTGTCCGATTTACACTCAAACTCGTCGAATAAATAACTACAATTTTTGATTTGTTTATATTTCAAACCATAATATCTGTTCCAAATAGCTGTGAACATACAGGGTGTTCCGTCTAAACCACTTAAAATGGTTTTAACCTTTAAGTGTGCTTTGTAATTTAATATTTCTAGTGGGGGCGAAATTATAAGCTTGCACCCAAAAATAGAGAAAGATTGTGATAATGATGACAAACTTAAAATCTGTTTATTTTAAACCGACATTTTTATAGACACAAATTTGATTTGGTATCTAAAAATTATGTTTTTGTGTTGAAAAAAAAAAGTTGATTTTTATGGATTTTGTGTCTACTTTTGCTCTTTGAAAGCATTATTGCATCACTATCTCGTGTTCGAAAACACATGTTTTAGTCAAAAATTTGTTTTTTGTCACAAAAATTTCATTGAACAAATTTATAAGTATACAGTTTTTTCAGAACTCGCGCCTCAGATAAGGTAAGATAAAAAATCTTTAAAAATTCTGTTTATTAAACTTTGTAATTTAATGAATTATTATTAATTAAGTTATTGTTTTTGATGTTATTAATGAATGAATTTAAATTTCGTTAGTATTGAGACATTTTCTAACAATATTACAAGTTTTCAAAATGGCTGCTTTTTGAATCTCAATAATTTGAATTTAATTTTAAAATTTTAAGATTTACTTTTAAATTGTATGGTAGCAGCTTTGTCTTCAAATTTTGAAAATGAGTGAGAAATAAAAAACAAACTAATTTGTATTCACAATTTAATAAATACTTACAGTTGCACTCAAAAATTACAAATTCACACACTTGGCGATAAACAAAAAAAAATAAAAAATTAAAGTGAACTGACCATATATGGCATCTTCTTTAGCTACCCTTTGTAGCAATTCGCCTCTGCTTTTTAAATAAAGAAACACAAAATCAGTTCAATACGATATTAAATCAGTAAAAATATAAAATAAAATTTAAATGTGATTTTCCTAAAAAAATAAAGGGTATTGTTGACTTACCCTTTAATCCGTAGCCCATTAATCACACAAAATTTTATAAATCGCGCACTACTAAATGTCTATCAGGCACTCGAAAATACGCAACACGCATGCACCATTTATACACAATTTCGCACTAAACCACCAAATAACTAATAATTTATCCGGGCAATTATTACAATTTAAGTAACTGGTTCGGGAATTTGGCTAAGACTGACTCGTTGTAGTAATAATTTTCTAAAAACGGCACAAAAACCATTTCGTAACAGTTCCGGTATAAAAGGCCGCCATTTGCAACGTCACAAAGTAATACGAATATTACCCAATTTCACCGTCACTATTTTTTGCGGTCTTTACAGTCACACGATTAAACAATCTTCCGAAAATTCAGTTTTTTAAAGGCGACAAAGAAATTTTATTTTTTTTAATCGATTTAGAAAAGGCGAAATAAAATTTAATTCAGGACCTAACAAATTCAAATTAAGTTGTCAGTTATTTCAACTTTGCTTGCAAAGATTTTTTTGAAAATGTCAAGAAAAAAGTTTTCAAGGAAAAAATCTTTTTTTTATTTTAGACAAATTGCCATGTATACAATTTATCTTTGTTTTTGTGTGTTCGTCTTCAAATTTTCATTGACATTTTGATGAAGACAAATAAAAAATAAAAACTACAATTTTTTTAGTTCAAAATGCCACAAATGAATGTGATAGTGATTTTTCCGTTAAAAAAAACACACTACTAATTCCTTTGTTACTGGGTGAATAATTGCACAATCAATGCCGCTCGTTGCATTTTTGACATTAACGTTTTTATTAATAAATTGTTTGTTAAATAATAATCATATTTTGCACTTACGAAATAGTCCGTAAAGAAGTACTTTTAAAAATTGTAATGTCATTGTTATTCACGACTGCAAATGAATGAAACAGTTCTTCGTGTGCATTTTTGTTATGTTGGTTGCATAATATTTCAAAGTTTTATCTAATGTAGGGAAACGATAGGAATAGACTGAAACGAGATAATGATACATGTAGAGTACAGAGAGACTACATTTAAACAATAAAAATGTAAGGTAAGATACCAGAAAAAATCTGTCTATAAAAATTTCGAAGTTATGAGGGTTTAAAGTTTGCACTTTGACTCTATTTATTTCTGTTGAGAATAACTTAATTTAAATTTAGAAATAAAACGTAAGAAAAGTTTGGGGGAAAATAGATTTATTATTGTGCTTTATTACGGAAACGGACTGTTGTAGACTGTAATAATTTAGACCAAAAAAGTTAATATCTTGCAAAATATTCTTTTAATTAAATAATTAATAAAAATTGGATTCAATGAACTAAGAAGTGTCATTTTTTTTCTTTTTATTATAGATCAATGTTAAAATCATTCTTTCTAACACTAAATACTATTCCTATGATATATTTACCTCTTATGTTGCCGTTAAGATGCGCTCTTTTATAAAATGGGTATAGTAGTGGGCATAAATAAATAGGACAAGTCGAAAAATCAAGTGATTACTTGAAAAAAAAAGATTATTTTTTTTAATTTAGTTGTTTGAATTTGGATTTATAATTATGACATTTGTCATACTGATTTGTCAAAAATGGATTTGTCGAAATAAACTTTAAAAAATGCCTCCAATTAGCGATATTGTGAAGACTTTTAAAATAATTACATTAAATACTCGTACTGATCTAAATTGAATTATTCTGTTTTATGTTGTATAATCACACTTGAGTGCAAAATAAAACGCAAATAATTTTTTTTTGTCATAATTTACAATACCATAATTGTCAGACATCTTCTATCAAGTTTTTCCATGTTTTTTCATTTCGTTTTCAACACTGACTATGTCACTGCACTGGCAAGTCCACCAAATAAGACATTTCTTTTCATAGTTTGCTAACCTTTTTCACACTATGTAAATCTCTAAAAAAATTGACAATTTTCTTTTTGACAATTTGCGTTTTTTTGCACTCAAGTGTACTTACTTGCAGTCCAGTTAACACTAAAAAAACACTGTCCTATTTATTTATGTGTTATAAAATATTCTTATCTTGGCATATTGTCAATTTTGACAAAT